TCTATTAAAACTATTTATCTATAACAAAAAATAATAAAAAGATAATCAAGTTGCATCGGCCGGGAATCGAACCCGGGCCGCCCGCGTGGCAGGCGAGCATTCTACCACTGAACCACCGATGCTTGTGTGGGGAGGCTGCCAAAATATTGTGTCTTTAAGCTTGAACATCTAATCTCTGTGCGCATTCAAGCACAACAGACTTACATACTTATATTCAAAAATGCCAATTAATTAAGATTTCATTTTAATACATTATCATTCAACTGATAATATGTATATTTGATAAGAAAGTTAAAGAAAGAAAGAAATAGTTGCAATGATTATTTTAATACACACAGTTGATAGGAAAGTTTAAGAAAGAAATAGTTAAAATGCTTATTTTGATGGCACACATTCAATAAAATAGTATTAATATTTATAAGTTGAGCAAAATCAATACTGCAGCGAAAATAAATAGTTATTGAGATTGGTTCAGTTCTGTCTTAGTAGTTGTACATTTAATCAAAACTGCAAACAATCAATTTAAAAGAAGTAATATTAATTCAGTTTTTACTTAGTTAATAGTTAATAAAATTTATACATTCAATTAAAACTGTTTATTATTTTGAGTGTGTAAATAATCCGATTGAAAGAACAGCAAAAAGTAAATAAACCCATTACTGGAGTAATCGTTTTATTTACACTTAGTCCCAGAGACGATTATTTTTATGATTAGTTTGATGTGTGCGATTGTAACGTGGGTTGGTTGGAGGTGATAAATCCGCGTTAAGTGCATACTTAAAGACCACCACGCACCTCGGCGATTGTCAGGAGTCCGGACTCCGTAGTCTCTTTACTACGTTGCAGGCGCTTCCGTTTTTTTTGGACGCATGCGCGACGCGTGGGATCCTCGATCGTAAATATCACAAATTGAATGGTTGGCTGGGAATGGGGCTTGGTTCGCTTTGTTTTAAGTCGTCGGCAAAGTGTGCGCCGCATAAGCATCAATTGCCGAGTGCCATAAATTTTTATTAGCCCCATCGTGGGCGTTAATTTCGATGTACTTGTATGTAAATATACATGCACATCCATATATAGTTTCGATTTTGGGCAAAAGTCAAATGATAAGGGTAGAGCATGTTTGATGTGATTTCACGCCTCTGCGCCTCGGCAGAATCAAGACTTAAGTTAAAGGTCACATCGAAAAGTTCTAATTAAATAAACACTGTAAACAAATGCCGCATTGATGCTTAGGTTCTCTTGTCTTAGTTTTAACGAGCCTTTTTAAAGACCCATAAAGTTACGGATTTTACGACCACTGCCATTATTTGACAGTAAACAAGCAACAACAACAACGCAACACCGGGTGACCAGGCGTGACAGATTTGTTGTTTGTCCATCCAGGTTGCAGTTGCACCTTGTTGTTGGCCCGACTTGTCAGCTGTCACAATTGCTGATGGCCATAAAGAGGCAAGAGACGAGCGACGAGAGACGAGCGAGGCGAGTTAGCATCCAATACCAAAGTGGAGGTCGTCATCAAAGTGGCTTTTATTGTTCTTTAATTGTTGAACTGTGTTCCTTCATACGCGGCCATAAAACTTAATTTTATGTGAGCGCATAAAGCGAGCCATTGCCATTGTGGCATTGCCAATGGGCGCTGAGGTGCTTGCCGACACTGGGGGGACACTCTGCGGATGGGAGGGTTTGGGGCAACCGTTGCAACCATTTCGAATAGACGAAATGACCCGCTGTTTTTAGTGTGAAAATCACTTAAGCGCGTTTACCGTATTTACGACTCTAATGACAATAGAATCGTTTCCGTTTTACGATATGTCGCTATGCAGAGTACCGTTTAAATGATTTAAGACCATTTGAAATATGTTTCATCTATACCCATAGATTAATAGGGTGTTCCCCCGTGGCTCATTCATTCAGCATTCATCATATAAATGTTTTCGGTGATTACTGTACTAAAAAAAAAAAGAAGAAAGTTGTATTTAACAAGAAGGCACATAATTGTCTGCAATTAATTTATTTTATTGTACTTTGCTTAAGGTAAAAATATTTACTTTGCCAATTTGCCTGTATTTGTTGTGTTCAGTCGCCAATATTTATCTGAAGAACTTCATTGTGCCTTCCCACGGCATCGTGCACTAATCGAATTGAGTGTTTTTTCTTACCCCGCTAGAGCATATCTCACTCACTTTGACTGCCGACACAAATTTGCATTTATTGGAAAATTAAATAGATTTCCGCTTGTCTCCTAAATATTTAACGGATGAGCCCAGCAAACAGCAAATGGCACAAGAATATACAAAAAAAAAGAACAAAAAAAACGAAAAAGGAAAACAGGAAAAATCTCATATCATATTTACGGCCAATAATCGGCCAGAGAGGCCAGAGAGAATGCAATCAGAACACTAAATCTGATGTACGCAGCTAATTGCGCATAGATTACCAGATGCATGAGCGATATTAAACGCCGCCCAATGCCAAATCCGGTGCCAATTCCCAATGTACGTTGTCCGTTGCCCGATTGGCCTGTTTCCCGTTTCCCCGTCGTAGTCCGTGGTCCGTGAAAATGAAACGAACGACAGCTCAATGAGAAATTGCGACAGAGACAACTCTATTTGGCGGTAAGCTGAATAGCTTGGCGGATACTTGGTGGCTTGGATGGGTTGAATGGCTCGATTGGCCGATCGCTGGCTGGCTGTGGACCGTTTGCTTATTTATTTCGAATTGACCCATTTGGTAATATTCATAATTTAGGTGCGCACGAAAGCCGCCGCAACAGCGCCAACAACAACAACAGCAACAACACCATCAACAACAACAACAACAACAATAACAACGATAACAACAACGACGTCGTCGCTGCGAAAGAGGCGCATAAATTCTCGCGCCCCACACTGCTGCAGTTGGTTGGCGAGCTTGGGAGATCAGGATCAGTTTGGTGCGGCCGCCATTTGACTTTATTTGCGATCGCAGCGCTGTCATAAGTTGCCGCCAAATTGTTGCATTGTACCTGCTGCGTGCGCGGCACTGAAGCTGATGCTGATGCGGATGCCAAACCAAACCAAACCAACCAACTCCCAGTCCAGTTGCCAGTTCCCAGTTCATTCCCGGCCCAACTCGGCTAGCTTGTAACTCAGAAATCATTAAAAGTGCGAGATACTTTATGAATTCGTCGTGGGCCGCAGCAAAAAGCAGTCAGTGGGACAGACGAGGATGGCGCGCCTGGCGTGAAATATGCACATAAAAAGCGCGTATCACCCCCCCCCCCCCCTCCCCTGGCAAATGCAAATCTAGCCCTTTCCCCCCATCCTCACTTCCCTTTACGAATGCCTGCTGAATTATTGTTAACGATTTGCAGTTAATTCAGTCCATAACTTTTCAGTTCGATTTCATGGCTTGGCTCTTATTGACTTTATTTTGAATGCTAATGGCTCGATCAGTCCATCACAGACATATTGCAAGCATTGATCGCTTCAGCTGAGAATTAATTCTCTGATTTGTCAACTCTTTTCTTCTTTTTTGTATTCCTTTTACAATTATGCGAAATGATTTGCTTGTGGTAGATTCTGTCATTGATATATTTTGCTCTACTCGGTGATTGCTGAAAATGTTTATTTAAAAATAAGTCAGTCACATATTTTATTTACAATTAATTAAACTGTTTGCACATGAAATAAATAATAATTCGAAAATAATACAAAGTAGATTATAATAGATAAAAATTGAAATTTACTTCTGAAAGTCCTAGCTAAAAGGCTTCCCTTTTTAAAAGGAAAGTTCTTCCGTTTTCGGAACGGAAACACAAATTGGAGCATGTCTGCTTAAAAATATATAGTATTGATAATCTGAATACCTGTCGATTGAAAGAGAAGTTGAGCATCTGCTTTCGGTTGATCGTTTTGACACTCAAAATTATTGACATCATTATGAAATGAATGCAATCGATTTGCATATTTTCTTTTACGACTTGATGTAATTTACCATGCAGAATTTATTATTATTTCATTTCTTGATTTCACTCAGTCAGTTGCCGGCGGCTTTTGTGGCTGTTTTATTGTCGCAACTTCTGTCGTCTGTCGTTTGGCGTCAGTCGTTGTCGATGTCGATGTCGATGTCGTCTCCTCCAGTGGAAGCTCTTGGCCATTGGCATTGGCCATGTGTCATTTGCATGCTGTCTGTCCGTAGAAGTCAACTGGGTCCCGAGCTGTGGCTATAATATCTTCAGACTTTTACTTACCTGTTCGGTTCCCCTGGCAATATCGGAGGCTGCATCAGTCATCAGCTTTATGTGGCATATAATTTTTATTTGGTTCGTAAAATTTTTGATGACGTTCGTCAAATTGCAGCTTTTGTTGTTGTTATTGTTGGAATGTTGCTTCTTGATTGTTGGCTGCATCTTAGCACTTCCCGCAGTGTCACAAAATGCATTTTATTTGCAACTTTTCCCCCTGCCATCTGTCATAAAACTACATATTTATGATATTTCGTTCTTTTTTTTGTAAGGAATTAGCCTCATTTAACATTTATATTTAGAAACCACTTTCAGCAATTGTTTATTTATTATTTATCGATAACTATTGCTGATTGCACTTAATTCACTGAGAACAATGTGAATCTCATTCACTTACCCAGCTGGAGTTGTCAGCTTTGCTTTTTCCTTTGGCTATAAGAATAAAATTATAATATTAAACTTTATATTTTTAACTTGCCAATTTGGCTACTGATAAATGTCAATACTAATGCTGACCAATCAGTATTATTCCAAATATTTTTATTCTATACAGACAAGTTGAAAAAGATTACTAAATAAGCCTTTAAGATGAAGTCGATCCATGTTTTTGTTAAGCGAAATGGCAAATCAATCGTATCCAAATCACTGATAATTCCTAGTTGCAAGCAAGGTCGCATAATGTCAGTTGATCTGTTATAGACTTAAAATGAGTAGGCTTTGAAATTGAACAAATTTAAGAATTCAGTGTTAATATCAAAGCAGTTAAATAAAACTCATTCGCTCATCTGCTGTTGAAAGGGAAAGTTGAAAACTAACAACACAATTTGAATTGCTCGTTTTGATATTATTATTTTTTGATTATTTGATTTGTGAAAATGGATCAAAATCGTCGAGGTCGCGAAAATAGTCCGAATGAGTGCGAGTACATGGAAATGGTGCAGCGTCCAAATAAGTTGCTGCGTCGCAGCGACAACAAGGAGGTCCTGTCGGCCGTCAAAGTTTTGATGGAGAAGCTGAGCGATCACAGCACCGTGTCGATTCAGCAGCGCATCGAGGATTTGAGCCGGTTTGTTGGAGATCAGTTTGATGTCTGCAGGAAGGAAATCATTCCCATTCTGATCGAGTGCATCGACAAACGTCCGATGCAGAGCGCCACCTATGCAACCTTTATTGGCCTAATCAATGTGCGGCATTACGAGTTTGGTGGCGAGTGCCTCAATGGCTTGCACAGGCAGTTGCTCAAATCGCTGCAGACAGCCCAATGGAGTCGGGCACTCAGCCTGCTGCTGCTGCTGGCCGATCTGGTCAATGCGAATGTGCTAACAGCCGGCTCCATGCTGCAGCTACTCGGCACACTGGCCTCTGTCTGCGAGGAGGAGGAGTCACCACAGCAACGACGTGACTTTTATGGCTATATGGTGCTCAGAACGTTGCCGCTGATTGGACGCGAGCTCTACGAGAAGAAGGAGACGGAATTGCAGGCACTGCTCAATCGTCTCCTGCTCTCTGTGAAGAAGCAGCGCAGTGCCACAGTCGGAGTGCGGCTGCTGCTCATTTGGCGCAACAACAAAATGCCGCAGCACGAGTATCTGCAACTGTTGTGGCAACAGATCCTGCAACTGCAGCGCGACAATTGGACAGAACAGCACCTGCAGCGTCCCTATCTCACCTTTGATGAAACTCTCTGCACAGCCCTGCAACATCGTCTGCCCGATTTGGAGTTGCCTCCCGATGAGCGTGCATTGAACCTCCCTTACCCCCGTCCCTGGCTCATCTTTCGCCTCTTCAAGGTGAGCGATTGTCTGCCAAGCGAACAAATGCCGGGTGAGCTGGACATTGGTCGCCATATAATTGAGTTGCACATTTTGGAGATACTGGAACTCTGGCACTTGAATGTCAAGAATTGTGCCGATCAGCTGCTTGAATTTTGCTTGGCAAAGCCAACTGTTGCCATGGAGCATTTGATTGTCGAGGTGCTGGTCGGTGAAATGCTACGGCTTCCCTGTTCCCTCTATCTGACCATCAACTATGGCAGCATCATCATCGAGCTATGCAGACTGCGACCGAATAAGTTCCCTCGTATTGTCGCCCATGCCTCGTATATTCTCTTCAAGCACTTGGAGTTTATGAGCGTGTCCAGCATTGATTGTTTCGTCAATTGGTTCTCGCATCATCTGAGCAACTTTCGCTTTGAATGGATCTGGCAGGATTGGGAAAGCTGCACAAGATTGCCCGATATGCATCCCAGCGCAATGTTTATCCGTGAACTGCTCAAGAAGTGTTTGCGGTGCGTTAATGTTGTCATATATTATATTCAGTGATCCACATACCTGTTCCACAGTCTCAGCTATTACCAGCGCATTCTGCAGATGATGCCGAAATCCTTTCAGGCACTTATGCCTGTAATCCCAAATTCCAACTACAAATACCTGAATGAGCTGTTGCCTGGCTCCATGTTGGCCAAAGCACTGCTTGAGGTCATACGGGCAAAGTGTACGCCCGAGCAACTTGGCGGTCTGATGGAGGCCACCACGGAGCTGGACGACGAGCTGAAGGTCAATGTGCTGATGCAGACGTTTCTTCATCTGGGCTGCAAAACCTTTACACACATTAACTCCATGTTCTCCAAGTTTAATTCCGTTCTCAAAGTGAGTTGGCTTGAGGGAGAGAGCGCATATATTCTCACTCCTCACTCGTCCATCCACAGATGTTGGCCAGCAGCGATGCCAACCAGTTGTCCATGTTGCGTGCCCTCTTCGAGGTGTGGGCCAACAACGAGCAGTACAAAGTCGTTTTGGCCGATAAACTGATGAAAATGCAAGTTGTGAGCACCAAAGTCATTGTCAACTGGATCTTTGATGCCGCACTCAAGCAGGAGTTGGCCAAAATGTACATGTGGGAGCTGCTCAATCTGACCGTAAGATTCACCAAAACTCATCTGCGCACCTGCAAAGAGGATCGCGAGGCGAGCATGCAAAATCTACTCGTGCATATCGTTGTGAGCTGTGTGCGGGTCCTTTCCGAGCATCAGGCAACGGTGCAGGATGTGGACACGGATTACTGGTACAATTGGGTTCAGGGTCGCTTCCAGGCACTGCTATTCAAATACATTGATGATGTGCGCGCCATTAGCAGCAAACTACGTCAAATTGCATCGGAACTGGAACATTGCAAAAGATTGTTAAACATGATTGAAGATTATTTGGCCTATATACAATAGGAGCGAGTTAACTAATTATGCAATTTATGTGCCAAAATATTAAATACAATTTAAACTATTTTCATTTGGGTAAAATAAGCAAAGCAATCTCGAAATTATGATCCATAATAAATATAAACATGTCAATTGAGCTGCAAACGGAACAAATCGTTTAGCATTTCCTTTAAAAAAAACTTCATCAATTCTGAACTTGTGATAATATTTAGTACAAATTACCTCTGACATATATCTAAAAAGAATATTTAATTTAGATTTTGTATTTCTCAAGGAATATATATAAAAATTTCATCCTGGTATTTTGATCAGCTTGATATGAAAACAATGCAATTACATCAATCTTTATCTTTATTATATTATCAGTTATTTCATTCTATTTCATATGTGTTGCATACTCTTTTGTACACTCTCCACCGCCACCCCCTTCATTTGCCGACAAGCTCGCCCGCCCACAAGCCATTCATATGGGACCGCTTGGGTTTGACATAAATGCCATGTTGTACAGTATGTCTATTTGCTGTTCAACTGACGCCGATGGGTTGCACAAACATGTCGAGTTAGAGGTCCCCCCTTAACACTCCTTGTCCCCCTAGAACCATTTACGCCCGTACTTTCTATGTATGCCGTGTCCATATGTGACTGTGTTTGTGTGCGTTATTTCGCGCTTGTGGTGCTAAATTGGGTGATAACTCCTTTTTAATGGTTGAGCTTTTGTTGTTGTTGTTTTTGCTGCTGCTGTTGCTGTTGCTGCTGCTGCTGTTGCTGTTGCTGTTGGTATTCTAAGTTTTATTTTTATTTGCGCCGCTAAAACTCAATTTTCGAATCAAACAACCACGAGGATTTCTCGTCCACAATGTCGTCCCTGGCATTTGCCAGCCTGTCGCTTTCTCTCTGTTTGCTCTGACGCTGATGATGCCCTCAACAATGTTGTATGCTGTTCTGTTCTGTGTTGTTTCGTTGTTTTCTTTGCTATTGTTGTTGTTGTTATTGTTGTTGTTGGTATTGCCATTGGTTTTATTGTTGTTGATGGGTGCCGTTGCCGTTGCCATTGCCGTTGCCGTTGCCATTGGTCGTCGCCGTTGTCACAAATGCAAATAATGGCACAATTGTGCTTTTGCAGTTCTTAACTGCTTTTATTATTTAATTCCTCAATATAAGTGCGCTGTATGAGTGCATATGTGCCACTTACTAAACACACAAACACACAAAATATGTCCATGTAATTGTTGTAATCAGTCGCATATGGATATGTACAATATATGTGAGTGGGTGAGTTGATTGGACTTTAAATTGAAATGGACTTATTTAATATTTTAACACATTTCATTTCTCAAAGGTTTCTTATCCATTTAATAATAATAACAAAGAAATTAAACTATTGTTTGGATAACCTTTGACTATTACAATCACCAGCCAAGCAATAAACATTTTAAAAAATAAATTGAGTTTTTCCAAATTCTGGCAAATTCATACTTTATCTTTGGAGACTATGCTGTCAAGCGCAGCTAAAAGCTTTGATATATGTTTATCAATAACTGAGGATAGTTCTAAAAAATAACAATTTGAGTTTTTCGCAATTTAATTTGTCTCGAAATATTATACAAACTTCATAATTTATTTGAATTGAAATTCGCTCAAGACATTTGTTATTTTTGTAGTCTACAATTGCGGTTTAATTAATTTTTATAAAATGACAACTAAAAACTTTAAGAAATGAAATTAAATACTACAAAATAATAAATCACGCAAAAGCTATAAATATTGGAAATGTGCTTAAAAGCTATTTCCTCAGCTAGTAGAAGTGAAAAGAAAATCTTGTCGGTTGCTGGGAAAACGCTTTCACTTATTTATGACAATGTATCCCTCAGTTGCATAGTTGGCGTATCCTTCACAGGTGTCATTAATTTCAAGACGCTTGTCTTGAGCTTGACTTTGACTCGGGCACTCACCACATAAATTCCAGGATATGTGCAATTAGATGGCAATTAGTTGTTTAAACGCCTACAACGCACACGGGAGGCGTGTAAATATTTGTATGTGTAATAAGCAATTATCATGAATCACACACACACACAACACACACACACACCAGCTTCTCTCTGCTCTGCCTCTCTGCATTGTGCAGTCAGCCAAGTGTTGCCGTGCTGTTGAAAATCAGACAGCCTACTAATTAGGCATATAAAAATTGGTAACTGCTCAGTCAGAGAGAGAGAGAGAGAGAGAGAACAGAATACTCGCAATAGTTGGCTCTAAAGGCAAAGGATATTATTCGAGAAGGAAGGATGTGTATCTGTGTGTGTTTGTGCGAGTACTTGTATAAATAATTGTGCATGTGTTGCAGGCACGTTAATTGTTAAACAAACCCGCGTTTATCACTCAGAGCAACAACAACAATAGCAACCCGTAGCACCAATAGAACAGTCTGGGCCAATATTGTCCTTGTCGTTTGCTCGTTAGACGGATGAAAGCAACGCAAGCTGCGTTTCCATATCCCATATCCCATATCCCATATTCCATTTTCTATATCCATATCCATATCCAACATTCACAGTCAGATTCACATTCATATCATTGGCGGCAGCGCCAAATGCTTTGACATCCGCCTACGCACATAGATACAGATACAAATAGTGGGAGTGTGGCAAACAGAAGGAGGCATCAAGTGCACTGCACAAAATTAGTTATACAAGTTTGAATTAAAAATCGTAATAAAATCGAGTGAAATGTGTTTTCCATTACAACTTTAAATCTTGGATTTCAATGTCCATTCAAAATAAATTCCAGCAGAGACAAGAATTTTACAGGATATGTTTGGTAAAATTGATAGATTATAAAACATTGGCAAACGAAATAATCAAGTCTTGCATTCTCAACTTTCTAAACGGGAAAACTTCAACTTTTGATTTGAATTCCAATTTAATTTCCAGAGTCATTTTTCAACGTGTGAGAAACTGTGTGAGAATTGTTATGTTTTTCGTATTTAACCTCAGACATGGGCCTCGTTTGTATAAATTCCAGCAACATCAGCAGCAGCAGCAGCAGCTACAGCAGCCACAACCAACTGCTGCTGCTGCTGAGTGTTGTTGCCGTTGCTGCTGCAATTGTACTGTGAAATTATTAACAAGGACAACAATAGCGACAACGACAACGCCGACGTCGAAGCCAACGTCAACGTCGACGTCGACATCGACGCATCGTTCATCGCGCTCACATATGGCGGAAATGACACTTTTACATTTAGCATCGCGAGGCGGCAAAGATAGAGAGTGGGACAGGGAGAGAGAGAGAGAGAGGTGTGAGTGAGAGGCATAGAACGCGACACGTACGCAACACAGACGCAATAAACTTCATTTCTGACAGGCCGCAATGCCAACAGGCGGACGCGAACAAAAACAGGAACACAAAACAGAAGCGGCTGCAGGTGCGGAAAGGGATTGGTGATGGCGCTATACGGGGTTAGCTGGGAGCAGGAGCATGGACGGCAACAGGAACAGAAGCACACAGCGTGGCACGAATACGCACAGGCGCCTGTGCCAACATGTCAACGCTGTGGTGATGTTGATGCAACCGGGATGGGCACCAGGATTGGCTGCTGATGATGATGATGGCCCAATCCAGTTTTCTCTCCACCCGGCCCTTTCACAGATGGCCACAGCTAATGAATAAACTGGACTTGAAATATGACCCGGCAGGATGCGTTGCAGTCCTGGTCAGTTTTTAGACTGCTCGCGTTATTTCTTTGGCTCTGCTCAATGAACCAACCACAGAGGTTAGTTCAGTTGGAATGACTGCTCCGACTAGGTCTACATAAATCATGCACTCAATCAAAAGCTCGGCCAATGGCAAACGATGAAAGCGAATGTCCTTACAATCAACACTTACGTATCTTAAGCACTTTATATCCATAGTTAATTGTGCGAAATTTGCTTAAAATAAAATCAGAGAATGTATTAAATTTTTCAATAGTTTCATTAGGTTATTTAATCATTAAAGTATTTATTTTATTTAATAAAGAAATAGGCTTGCAATATAAACAATCCAATAGATCTTAAGTATTTTATGTCTAGGTGAAAATATCAATAATTGCACCGCGACCTGTTAGATCTATTGTGCTCCCTTCTGAGCCTATAGCTCTTCCATCAGCCCAACAGGATCGTTATTGGGTTGAGGTCTTCTATGTCTCTAAAATTCAAGACATGCATCCCTAGGAAGGTACATTTTCTTCTAGCTAGTACGACACATTCTGCTAGGATGTGTATCGAGGATTCCTCCTCTCTTTCACAGAACCTGCAGAGATCGATACTGTATATACCTAGTTAGGTGACTTCTTAGTCTTAGTTCTTTCCCATGGTTGTAACCTGCTTAAATCGTTTAAGATTATAACCACCTAGGAGACATCTGGCTTGCCGGAGTCCTGCTGCCTCCGACCAGCTCTGCTGCAGCATCTGTTTCTCTTCATTTCTGAGTACCAGTCGTATAGTGTGTCTTCCTATGCCACAATACGGTTCTGGTCCTATTAGGGGCCTTTCCGGCCCTATTCTCGCCTGATTATCAACCGCTGAATAGTAGAATACTAAGCTTGTTGAGCACACCTCAAGTTAATGCCTTACTTTTCATTCCTTACAGATAAGAGCAATGAATACCGAGTCGGCTGATCTGGAGGACACGCATTTGTGCATCAAGTGCAATGCGACAATTGTGGGTCTGAACAAGTATATTGAGCACCGTAAACGGAGTTGCCTCAGCACTGGCGGCAATGAGCACCTGTCGAAGCAGGTGGTGACTCCGGCAACGACGTCGGCTGCCACCGAACAAGTATCGCACTCAGACATGCGTCGCAGCAACTTGGACCACACCTATGATGGCTTCCACTTTACAGAGCCGGAGGCACCCAGCAGTTATCTGCGCAAAACGGCCTCCAGTCATGGCGGAAAGACATCCAAGTCCCTAACGGATTCCTATGATCCGACGTACGAGCTGGGTGCCGATCTGTTCTTCTCATCGCTGCAGCTACAAAGTGTCTCAACTGGCGGCAAGACAGGCGCACGGCCGGAGCGTGGCGCTAAGGAGGAGCAGAGCTGGCATACATCCAGCAACTGCTCCGATCCGCTACTGAAATTGGTCCGGGAACACGAAGTAACCCACTTTAAGTCACTCAAATTTGTGCACTCGCCAGAGGCAAGCGAGGAGGAAGACGACGACGAGGACTTCGAAGGCGATGATGATGAACATGAGCATGAGCATGAACAGGAACATGATCCCGATCCTGATCCTGAGCCTGATGAGGATTACGATGGGCGTCGCCATTCGCCGCCGACGGTGCCAGCCACACATACTGGTGGCAAATGGAAGCCAGAGCACCGTCCGCAAATGCAACACACTCACCTCGAACGCATCTCGCCCAGCTGGGATGAGCCGCCCGAGGAACAACACGATCATCCGCCGGCGGAGCACACGCACGGCAAATGGGTACCGGGCAGCAAGCAGCTGGAGTATCGCGAGAACATCGATCTGACCAAGTTGCAGCAGCCAGGCGCCAGCTACTGGTGCAACATCTGCTGTCGCCGCCTCAAGACGCGCCTCAACTACGAGCAGCATCTGCGCAGCGCCTACCATCAGCGACGCGCCGATGCCGAGCGTCAGCTGGAGCAGGCCAATCTCCCAAGCGCCAATCTAACACTCACCAACAAAGACTTCTCACAGATGCCGCCGACGGAGCAGCTGCCGCGGCGTCGCCGTCGCCGTGCCCACTTTCTGCGCTGCGATCTGTGCCGGCACAGCATGGCTCGTCATCTGATGGGCAAGCATCTCATCTCGCACTATCACTATCGCCGGCTGCAGCAGCAGCAACCGAACCAACTGCGCCGACAGAGCGCCCTGCATGACATCCTGGAGCACATGGGCAGCATTGTGAGACAGGCGCCATTCCAGTGTCTGCCCTGTCGCTTCTATGCCAACACTGAGCAATCTTTTCAGGTAGATACAGACTCATCTAAGAAACATATTCAGGGATATCCTTCAAAAAATCGAATATATAACATAGGGTCAACCTTTAACTGGCCATATCTTTTCAGGTAGATGCAAGCTTCCAAATTATGAGCATATTATTTATTTTAAGAAAACTGAATTTCTAAAAAATAAGAGTTCAAAAATCTATCAAAATTATAAACGATTCAATTTAAATCGATTTGAAAATGATAATTTCATCCACTTGCAGCTCCATTGGCGCTCCTCGACGCACGTGACGCTGACGGAGCGACTTGGTGGCAGCTTCTGGTGCAGCTACTGCCAGTTCGAGTGTGCCAGCAATGAGGAGATGTGGCAACATTTGCTGGGCGCCACGCACAAGGAGGTGCTCTTTGCGATCAATCGTTCGGTGCCCGTTTGCATTGCCCAGCGTCGTCCACTGAGCTGTTCCAGCTGCAGCGCCAGTTTCCTGTACAATGCGCAGCTGCGTCGTCACCTCGCCTCGGAGCATGTGGAATTGGTGGCAGCGGGCAGCGCTGCCGATGACTATCAGTGTCGCTTTCGCTGTGGCATTTGTGGCGTTGCGCAGAGATCTCGAGTGGCGCTGCAGCGGCACGAGAAGCACCAGCATCGATTGGCCAAATACTATTGTGCCGTTTGTCGGCTGGAGTTCGAGACGCCGCTGGAGGCGCGACGCCATCGCAGCCTGATGCAGCACAAGCGGCGAGCTTGCCGCCAACTGAGCCGCAAATGCAGCAGCAGCATCAGCAGTAATCAGCCGGATCGCGAGATTCAACACATGCTACACGAGGTGCTGGAGGAGCAGCAGCCAGCAGCAGCAGGTGAACAGCCATCAACCTTTAGTTCCAAGAGGCGACGCCTGACCAGCCAGTGTGTCAGCTGTCCGCTCAGCTTTGAGACGCCTCAGGCACTCGTCCAGCATCGTCGCGAATTGCATCCGGTGGACAATCATGCCTGTCTCAGCTGTGGGAGTAGCTTTCAATCCGCCCAGGCTCTGGGCAGACACACACGCTGCTGCCAACCCACAGCGTCCACCTCGACAGCTGTTGCTGCTCCTGCTTCAGCTCCAGCTCCAGCTGCAGCTGCAACAACTGAATCAAAGTCCTGGAACTGTGCGCAGTGCAGTTTCACAGCTCAATATGAATCGGATTTGCTCTACCATCGCTTCTTTCACACCCACGGCTCGGCAATTGGCAAGAATGAGCTGCTCCAGTGTCCGCTGTGCCCCAAACAGTTTCGCAAGCACTCACTGCGTCCCCATCTGCGCAATCATACGGACGAAAGGATCTTCGAGTGTGTCGAGTGCTCGGCCAAGTTTGCCCGCAGACACAACCTCAAGAATCACATCGCAACAGTGCATGTCCAAAAGGAGAAGCCATCGCCAGCCGCTGATAAGTCAACAGTCCAACAATCGAAAGTGGTTGCAAAGCAGAAATATCAATGTGGAACCTGTGGCAAAATACTGGCTAAAAAGTAAGCACTTCAATTCGAAATATTTTTATCTCAAATCTAGGATTATTTCCCGCTCTCCTTTTTGATATTACATTTACCAAACTCCTCCACTTTGTCTATATACTTCAACTACAAGCCGTAATCCATCATTTTGGATTATAAAGATATCAAAACACACACACATTTAATGGTCGCCGTTTTCAAATGCGCTAATTAAAAATACCAAAAACAATAAACTGAAATACGCCCAAGGACAAAAATGGCTCACATGCAAATGACCATATAAATAGTTCGGTTTCGGGAGTGGGGCAGTGTGGTGCAGAGTGGGGCAACAGGAAATGCAATACAAAAAGCGTGCAGGCGCGAATTTTGCATTAATTAAAAATTCCAAGCGAAAACGCGATTGCTGCGAGTGGAAAATAAGTAACCAAAAATAACTCATTAAGTGCTGGACATTCCGGCTAAATTACGCAAAAAGATAAACACACACACACAGCAACATATGCATACTTGTGGCACACATGTCCTGCGACTGCAACGCTTGCCACCCGCCACAAAGTATGCAATGCACTCGCAAATCAAGCCTGCGGCTTTCCACCAAAAAGTGCAATCGTCCTGCCCAAAAAACCAAAAAATAGAAACATATACAAAATCAACAAAAGAATTACAGAGCATTGCACACAGTATTTGGTATGGAATGTTGGGGACAGCACTTTCAGTACATATAATTTTTGTAGCTCTCCAGCCACCAAAACCATTATTAGAATAGTCTTTGCCGTAACAATTTATTGTGGTTCTCAGCATTTTCGATATGCCAACGGCATTTTGTTGCTTGTTGTTTGTTGTTAAAGCAATTCGGATATCTTAAATGCAATTCTTGGATTATGCAACAGTATTTACTTGAAATAATATAATATTTTATGGCAGAAGCATGCAAATATTAATCTTAATATAATTAAATAAATTAATAATGCTTCCCGTTTAGATTACATTGAGCGTTTAGCGGTTTAGTTAAGTTAATCAATATGTATTTGGCTGGTCAACTGTTTTTTCAAATAAAACCCAGAGAAAAGTTGCATTTTAATTAAATAAATTACAAGAAAATTATTATTCCTTTTTGCTATTCCTTGTTCGAAGTCGAGAAAATAAAACAAAGCTAATGCATTTTTTTAAATAATAATGTTCCTTTTTGCAAGGAGAAAGTGCCAGCTTTTGTATCCCTTCGTCTTTCGAATCGTACTTATTTTCGTCTGACTCAGAGGATTACTGCGGCCAATGCCATTAGCCGCGGACGAATCCAAATCTGGGCATCCAATTACGTCTCAGCCATAACTAATCATAACTTGTTCAGTTTCCGCAGTGAGGACAACACTCGCATCCACACACATATATATATATATACAGATTCCATATCCATATCCTATAGTTGATGCTTGCTGCGAAGTTGCAACTAATTCCTTAAGCAAACATTAAGTTGAATTGCAGTCGAGTCAAAGTCGTTGTCTGAATCTGAGTCTAGGGGATAACTGGATGCATAAAGTAAGCGCATGGCAACAAGAGGCAGGGACAGAGACAGGAACAGGGACAGAGACGTAGGCAAGAACGGTTGGCAGAGAGTTTTCCACTTTTCAAGTGATTATTTGAAAAATTTATTAAAATGCTCATTTGAAGTTATTGTCGTGCGCGCTTGATGTAGATACTTTGCTTTTACGACTAACGAGACCGAGTGGCCGGCAAGTCGGCAAGGAGTCGGCTCGCAGATCAACTCACACAGACAGTCTCCAAGGGGGGGGACGTGGAGTGGGTTGAGGGAGTTAAAAGAGTAGAAGGCAGCTAAAAGTTTCAGCACGCCCCTAGTCCAGGAAAGGACGCGACGTCGTCAGTCATGTCAACAGTGGAGCGCAGCGCAGCTCACTTCCGGAATTCCAGACTTGAACTAACTCAACTTTTACGGCTGCTGGCTGCTGACTGCTTGCTGCTTGCTGCTTCTGGTTAGTTCCCCGTAGCCGGGTCCTGTGCGAATACTTTGCCAGGCATCAGCATCAGTCTAAAGTTTGTGTCGTCGTCGTCGCCATCGCCAACGTTGGGCAATTCACTTTTATTGAAATGGCGTGCAATGTTCTTCTCTTCTGTTCTGTTTGGCTGGATACGGAATCCGATTCTTTTGGCTTTGGCTTCGTTTCACCATTGCCAATTCGTTGTTGCTTCGGTTTTTTTCTTGGTTTTTTTCTTGTTTTTTTTTGCTCTCTTTTATGTCTGCGCTTTTGGTTTATTTTATTTCGTATTTTAAATCATTCCAAAGCTTGCATCATTCGTTGTCCGGGAGTTGATTCTGTTGATGGCACAAAGTGCAGTGCAATTCATTTTAATGGTTGCTACATAGCTCCACACCCTCCTCTCCAGCTGCTGCTGCTGCTGTCCAGTTCAGCTATTCGTTCCATCACTTGAGAGTCAATTTCACAAAAACTTGATTTCCCATTTCCAATGCCAGCGAACGATTTAAGGGATTGCCATTGCTACTCAGCTGCGCTCGCCCAGCACATTCATTCATTTTTATGAATCTACGAAATTGAGTCGGACATTGTTCGGTTTTGCGGTCGGTTGCCAGAACAGAACAGGATAGGACAGGACAGGACAGGGTAGACCAAAACAGGCTAGAACAGAACCGACTTGAACTGAAGTGAATGGAACGTGTTGTGGCTTTTAGCTCGTCTCATTTGAAGTTCGCTGCATTCCCAATCGCGCAGCTGTTGATGGTCATCTTGGTAAGCAGCACTTCTTACTTATTGTTGCCTGTGTGTGGCTTGGGCTCATAAGCATCACTGTCAGAATGCATAACTCTGCCAAATATCCTATTGAAAACTGCCGTTTCAGGAGTTGAGCTTAGACTGAAGTCTAGTAGAGCGCCACAGGATGACTGGATGCATGTATAATATATATTGATTTATTTCCAGCTTGTGATCACTTGATAAATCATATAACTAATTTACACAATCTGAAATATATATTTATATATGATTTAATAATCTAATTCAACTGCCGCGAGAAAAATATCAGCTCAGACAGACTATCGTTTCTGGGGGATTTATGTTACACAGCCAACCGATCAAATTGAATTCATTAACTATTAAATTATCTATAAGAAACACCAAAGAATAATCAATTCCACTAAGCAGACTAAATATGAGACTTCCAAAGACAGTGAAGATAAACTTGAGTATATAAAAAGAATAGATTTGAATGCTTTTCAGCTACAGGCATTTTCATAAGATTTGTGCTGCATATATATATATATATGTATTCTTTTCAAATCTAATACTTTAAATGTGCTCAAGAGTAAACAAGATTAAAATAGATTGCGTAGATGTTGAGCGCGGAACTAATCCGAATGCTCGAGCACATTTGCACATTAAAAACTTGAAACTGGCTGCGGCATTAATAAGAATGCAATGCGGAGAATGGGTTGGCAACCTCATTAGAACCAAGAGTGCCAAAAGAGTGGGCGTGGATCATGCTATGAGGGCAAGGGTGACATTTAACGGTAATTTCCGGCGACGATTCTTGTGTAGCATCAAGTTTTTGCAGATAAGCAGCAAGAGGCAAATGAAGAAAGGTGTTGGGCACTTCCCTAATTACACATGGCATAAATGTGCAGTCATCCCCATCCCCCCCCCCCCCCACACACCTCCTTGAGAGCAACTAATTTCACATGCAGCACAGGACGAACCATCAAAATCCAGCTAATGTCGCACAAGCGAACAACAACTTGGAACTGAAAAGACGACGGCACAAGACTTACGTACCAATTACATGAAAGTTGTGTTGGACAAGGAGCTGGGTGGGATTGGGGGATTGGGGGCTATATGGCCATTGGGTTGGGCTGGGTAAAACTTGAGCACATCCTTGTGACTGACACCGGAAGCAGTCGCTGCACTGGTGACTAACACCCGCGGCACAAAACTTGAACCCAGAGACAGCGACTGAGACAGAGACTGAGACAGAGACAGAGACGACAACGAAGACAAGCTAGTGAGCTGGAGAGGCTGTCATAAGTATTTATGCGAGTTTTGGGAACAACAATGCCAGCCAACATTGACTATGACAACGGGGGTGGCTGCTGCAGCTGCATGAGTTTCGACTCCAAACATCCATTCCAAAGTACACATGCGATTGTCTAAGACATGCACACACATCTAGAAAGATAGAGACACACACAGAGAGAGACAGAGAGAGTGGGAGTGAGATAGAGAGAGAAAGGGAAAGAGAAAGAGTCACGCTGCAGATGACAATGAGCAGCAGGATACATTTGCACCTGCCTCAACATCCACATCCACATGCACCGGGCACCCACCATCCGCCACCCGCAAGTTGTGTTTGCTTAGCGTCTTGGGCTTCCGCCAGTTGTCCTTTGCTGACATCACCCACCCAATACAACCACTTACACACCTCGCCGCCTCCACCCGCATCCTAATGGATGGCGTGCAAAAGTTGACACAACACCGCCAGCCAAAGCCAAACAGCTTCTTTGCCGCGTGCAGCTGCTGCCCCGACCTGATGCCAGCCAGAGACTTTCAATTCGACTTTGAAGACAGCAGCAACACCTTCAGGCAGCCAGGCAAACAGGCAACAAGCAAACCACCCCAACCAATGCAGAACAAAAGGGCAAAGTTTTCGTCGCCAGGCGTGAAACGTTTCGTCAACTAATCGCAACGAAAGAAGCTGCATCGGAAGCACCCATCCGCATCCGCATCCACATCCACATCCACCTGCACACCTGCACCGGCATTCGCATCAGCCGTCGTATTAAAAGGCGGCGCCTCAATTTGAGGCGTGTTTCGATTTTAAATATGCTATTTCAGCACTCGTTCAAGTTTTCTTTCTTTTCCAAATTATAAGCTCATATTTAGCAAGAAGAATTGCATTTAAGAAAGGGTTCAAACTATCCACACAGCCTTAACTTGATCGGAATTGTGCAGTATCTTTTTATAGGCCAAACCCCATTAAAAATGCTTATAAAGGGTATCATAAACTTGTGCAAATGTGTGTAACAAGCACATGCTGCAAATTAGCTGAGCCCACAATTTAATTCAATTTACGCTAATGTCCTTGGATGAAAATATGTATATGATGCGGCAGCAACAGCAGCAGCAGAGACAAACAAATTTTGTGGCACAGACGAAGCGATTTAAAGCTTTAGCTGAAGAAGAACTTAGCACTGAATGGCAAAAGTGTTGGCAACTGGCAGTGGATGGAGGCGAGAGTAGAGAAAGAGAGCTGCTGCAAAATGCAGTTGAGGAAATAAAAGTTAATGTTATAACTGAAAATACAAGCAGCAACGAAACGGAGCGAAAGATAATTTTGTTTGCTGTTGTTGTCGTTGCATCTAATTCGTTTTGCTTTCTTTCAGCATTATGTTGTTGCTGGCGGCGCCATTATCCAACTGAATGGCAACAACCAACAGCAGCAGCAGCAGCAGCAGCAACAGCAACAGCAGCAGCAGCAACAACAACAATTTACGGCAAACTCCTGCAGGTGAAATGGCATCCTTTTGTCAAGTCTCAACCGGCAGCAGTGCCTTGAGCTCCACACCCCCAACCCCAACCCCCGTCATCGCCCGTCATCCTGTTTGTCGTTGTCATCGTCGTTGCTATTCAAACTCCATACAAAGTGACATTTCACATATCAACGCCGTCGTCGACGTCGACGTTGCTGTTGCTGTTGCTGTTGTTGCTTTTGGCTTTGCTGTTGCTGTTGCTGTTGCTGCTATTGCCGCCCACGCGACGGCATCATTAGAAATGCATGACAATGTCGCCAAACACCAGCAGGCCACACCCCCAAAACACCAGCACCAGCACCAACATCAACCAACCAACCCACCCACCACACAACCATTGAGCTCACTATTCCCGTAGAGTGTAGAAACCCGTATCTGGTACTGCTATTGCCTGGGCATTGTTGTTGCCGTTAGGAGGAATTTAGATTAAAGATTGAAACTTTGTTAATGTCGCGCATTATTAAGAAGAATCTTTTTCAACCAACAACGCCGCATAAATTCCAAATGAGCAAACTGAAATGAGCACCTTCAATATTTATGCGAATTAATGTTGTTCCATTAGCAAACAAAACTACGGAAATTCAAGCGAGTAATCCACGCATCCGTTACTCAATGATAATAACAATTTCGATCTAATTTCGGTCTAAATCTAATTTTCTATATTGCATTTTAATCCAGAGCAGACGCATCAATTAGTCTACCAGTCTTCTATTTTAATTTAGTAATTTAGACATTTTGAGACAGAATTTCGTAAGCTCCATTATAATTATTATATTCCGCTGATCTGCAAAAGAAGAGCCATAAGTAAAACTGCAGCTTAAGTGTCGTTTTTAAAGCAATCAAAATAAGGAGTTTAAATTTCAGCACTTTTTTTTTAAGACATAAGCAGAAAGTGAACTGTAGGTTAGATGCCCAGTTTAATGTTTATTCTGCTGCTTTTAACTAATGCAAAATACAAGCCGCAAATGCTGGACTCATTTAAAGTCAAAGGCATTGTCCGAAACGACGACGATGCTCAGCTGTTTCGATTAATTAGCATCCGTAATTGATGGGCACAAAAGTTTTGGCTACGAGTTTGCATTTGGTTTGTGGGCCGACAACGACAACGACAACTCCAACGACTACAACAAAGTGTTGTCCCTTCTCTGAGTGGACGTGGCCTAGGTCGGTCCAGGTTTGTCCCCCCCTCTCTCTCTGCTGTCCCCGCATCCGCATTGAACGTGCCGACCATCTGACCGTCTGTGACTGAGACGTGACTTTGGTGCGAATTACTTTTGCTTTGATTTAATGTAATTAAAAAATTTCTAATAAAATGCAAAACACACACAAAAAAAAATGAAGAAAGATCGAAAAAATTGAATAGATTTTCGCCAATTTTCAATTGAAAACTAAATGCTTTAATCTTTTCTGTTCTGTTTTTTTGACAGATACTCACTGAAACTACACGAAATGAGCCACGCTGAGGTGGAGCGTCAGCATCGTTGCCACATCGAGGATTGCCAGTATGCTGGTCTCACGCCGGAGGCACTCAAAATCCATCTAATCTCACATGCGAATGGAAGTCACAAATGTGAACACGACAACTGTCAATATGTGGGCAAAAGTGAGCTGCACTTGAAGAGGTGAGCTTTATCAAAACTATTACTTCAAAAAGTCATGTTAATTTTGCTTTGAAGACAGCCTCCAAAGAACATAAATAAACCAAACTAACTTTATGCGAGGTCGAGGCTAACTTGGCATGTCATGTTGGGGCGCTATTACTAATCTGAAAAATGCTAATCAGGATTTACCGATGAAGACAAATACAATTACAATGCGCTGTGCTGCAAATAAACGAGCGACATTTTCTACACGAATTTCAATTTCTTGCAAAAATAAAAATAAAACACAAAAAAAAAACAAGAAAATGGAAATGGAAATGGTCATAAAAAGGAGCAACAAGAGCAAAAATGTCATCCATAATTGCAGACTTTGAACTGCAATTGCATAAATTGATGAGAACAACAGCAACAGCAACAGCAGCAACAATAACAACTGCAGCAGCAAGGAACTGTTGACTGGGCAGTGACAATCGCTGGCAACGTTGCCCCAATGCCACAGCCGAAGCAGAGGCAGAGGCAGTGGCAGGAGCAGCCGATGCAGCGGGGCAAAAAGAGTCGCTCGAGTCGTACCACAAAATCGTGACTTATCGATCGCCTTTGATATGCGCATTGAATTCTTGTAATATTTGCAATGCTCTTTCTCTGCAGCAGCAGCAGCAGCAACTCCTCCTACTCACCTCATCCTGCTGCTGCTGCTGCTGCTGCTCCTCCTCCTCCGTCGCCTTCTCCTCGTGCGCCTCCTGCGACAGCGTCGATCTGCATCCAAATCGTCTGGCTTTGGGGCCAATTGCCGGCAATGGCAACTGTTGCCACCGTTGCCAGCCACTGCCTGCCACTGTGCAGCTGTCCGCCCCACTGCATTCTACAATACACACAGATACAGTGTTATATAAATGGACTTTCGCATTGGACATTGGAGCCTTGCAACGCATCGTTCGACGATCGTCTTTGATGCGTCTTTTGTTGCTTATTGTTGTTGCTGCCGTTGCACAAAATTTGAATATTTACTAGTGAATAGTTTGCAGTGCAATTCTATTCAATCTTTATTGTATTGCGGCTACTTATGCATACACATATAAATTGTATAGTGTATATATATATATATATATATATATATCTATAGACGAAAGCGCCTCCAATTTCCCAATCGCAAATTTCGAGTTTTTCCTTTGAAACTTTATTAACAAAAAATGCCATCATCAACATTTTTTTTTTGATCATGTGACAAATTTTGTTTCAATATTAAAAACATTCTCAGAGTGTTTATTTGCATGTGTAAATATGTCACAGCTGAGCGCTCATTAAAATTGGTTTGGGCAGCAGTAGAGAAACATCCCATAACACACACACACACATACAAGCAGAGGCACACACACACACACACACACACACACAGCTGCATTTTTGTGATGGGCTTAACTGGCAGTCGAGATCTTCAATTAGCTATCAAAACAAAAAAAAAAAAAGAGAAAAAAGCGCGGTCTGTCCAGGAATTCAAAGGCTGGCCAAAACGCGTCCAGTTTCGGCCTCATTTCGGGTAGTTCGACGCGTTGTTGTCGGCCGCTCAAAGCGACGCCTTGTGGCATGATGCGGTGCAGCTTGGCATTGGTGGGGCAGGGTGGTTGCTTAACTCCTACAACTTGCAGGCAGGCACGATGCTGCAACTGCAACTGCAACTACAACAGCAAACAGCCACGTTACTTGCCGCTAATTAAGCCTACCGACTGCGCATGAGCCGTCTGCTCCTTTCTGCTCCGTCTCCCTCACCGTCGAGCTCCCTCTTCCCCTCTGCGTCTCTCTCTCTCTCTCTCTCTGTGCTCGCTGGCTCTCTTCTGTGGTGCTGCGCCTGAGATTTCACACAGATTCCAATTCGGCGACGACCATGCAGAACATTGGCAATTAATTGTGAGCCCTCCGTTTGGACAGTAGCTGATAAGTGGAGTGGACAACACACACACACACACACAACAGAAGCAACAAATGAGCGTTGGATGGTGACGGGGGCGGGCCGGGCCGGGGCGAGGAAGCGAGGCTGCAACTCGGCTGCAGTCTGATCCGGCATTGGAGGCCGTAATTGAAGGCGCGTAACTGTGTGCACCCTACAGTCGTGTATATGCATCAATCTGGCTGAGCATGTTCATTCAACGATCATCGAGTCATCATGTTTCATCAACTATATTTTGTTTAAAATACAATTTGGCTATTTTTACTTAATAACAGTTTAAAGCCATAGTTTAGCATAAATCTACAAATTTAACTTTTGAATAAGTTTTTTTCAATCATTTCGACTAACTCTTTGATCAAGCCAATTATTTACATAAATTTCATTCAATCGTTTATAATTTGGTGACCTCTATTTATGATATAAATATGTATTTCGATAAATAATTTTTATATTATATACAACATGCTTGAACCGATTTAACCGATTATATCCGAATGCGCTGCGCCACTGTTTACAGAACTGATCTCCATCTGAGTGGATGGACGGGTGCTGCTCGGGTAGTGGTTGGTGGTGGCTACTGTGGCCACTATTTTGTGTACACCGGTACAGATCGGTGGCGTCCTTCCAGGCCGGGCCAAAGTCGTTGCCAATTGCTACTGCCAACTTGGTCGTATTTTTGTATTTTGATTTCGAGTGTGCGATTCGAATACAAAATTAGCAATTAGCTCCTGGCTGCGTTGCCTGTCGCATAGCCGCCACTGGAATTTACTGTCTAATCAATTTTGAGATTTTAAATACGGCTCTGCAGTGCGAATACTTAACAGTATTCCACAGTATCCACTTACTCGTTGTCTCTCCCGTCTCAAATTGTCTTCCACCTCTTTTTTTCATTGGCAGGCACCTCAAGTCGCATGTGCCCGAAAAGGAGCTGATCGAGGATGGCAAATGGTTGCCGTGCGATCAGTGCGAGTTCAGGGCCCGAATCAGGGGACATCTGAGGCGGCATATGCGTAGCCACACTGGCGAGAAACCCCATCAGTGTCCGCACTGTGACTTCCAGTGCAGCAGCATGGATAATCTGCGCAAGCACATCGTCAAAACGGGCAAGCATCCGGGCAAGTTCATCTACGAGTGTTCGTCCTGCGACACCTTCAAGAGCAACAGTTTCAAGGATCACCGACTACACTTGGCCACGCATAAAAATAAATTGCCCTAACGCAATTGATGAAGCTTTCTTGCTGAATCTTGAAATATAACTTCCAAAATTTATACTTGATTTTTTTGCGTGTACTACTATTTTTGACGCATTTTATATGATTTTTTATTTGCACAAGAGATGTGAAGAACTTTAAATATATTTAACTGATGAAAAAAAATATATAAATATAAAAAACAAAAAATATTGCTATTGTTTTTTATTAAAAAAAATGAAAATTAGTTCTTTTATTGTTTGGTGACTGTTTTTATAATTCAAACATATCTTTCAGCGGCGAAACTAGAATTTAAAAATATCTTTTGTAGGCCTAAGGTTAACTGATCGGCGAAAGATATATTTATATATTTATACACAAATCTAAAGCATCCTCTGAGAAAGATTGGCTGAAGCCAGAAAGTAATTTAACTTTAATTTGAATTTCTATGTTAATTTATACTAATTATCAACTTGAGCCTGTGAAAGACATGTTTAAATTAAAGTTAAATTTAATTGTAGTTTCCACCAATTTTAGATGATGCATCATAGATGATGCGGAAATATAACGTGACAAATAAAAGTCAATATTCCTGCAACACTTATACTTTTAGGCTCAACACTAAAAATCAACTGAGCAACTAGTCCTAGAAAATTAAGATTTTTAAAGCATACTTTTTGGGTGGTCAAAAGGCTAACCCAATTGCTGTTCAGAATAATAGCTCTAAATGCATTATAATCACAAGAATGAACTCCATCAAGCTGCATTAGTAAATAAATGTGTGTTCTTTTTAGAATCTAAGTGGTACCGCCGAGATAATGTAAAAAAAAATCAAGAAAAATATTTTTAAAAAAGGATTGATATGCATCGGCCGGGAATCGAACCCGGGCCGCCCGCGTGGCAGGCGAGCATTCTACCACTGAACCACCGATGCTTGTTGCGATCATTTGTTCAATTATCAAATAAGAGCATTGGCATAAGTAACAATATTTTAAATAGTAAAATAACTGTTTTGCATCGGCCGGGAATCGAACCCGGGCCGCCCGCGTGGCAGGCGAGCATTCTACCACTGAACCACCGATGCTTTGTTAGAGCTGCCAGCGAATTCTGCCAGTTTTAAGCCACTTAAATTTTTTTTTTTTTTATTTTATTGGGGATCAGTTTTGACACAGACTGGAGGAGAGTCGACAAACTAAATGTTTGAGAGAACGTCGGCGGCAGCCGAAGACGAAAGCCGAAGCCAGAAAGCATTAATAAACAAACAAATAAAATTCGAGTAAATTTATGTTATCTTAGCTGTAATTTGGGGATTAAATCTCCGAAAATAAGTAGGTAATTTGACTATTAATCATTAAGTTAATTACTTTAGAGATCCTGATAGCCACTAGCAGATCAATAAACCATAAAAGAACATTAATTTTTTCGTTTATTTCGCCATTTGTAATGAGTGAATCAATGCTTCATTATGACTAAATGACCTGATTTGCTGTTGCTGATGTCGTGGTGAATATTGTGATTAATGCTGCTGCTGCTGCTGCTGCTACTGCTCCTTCCGCTGCTTCTTCTGCTATCCAACAGTGTACATCTGCCTATAAATATATATATATTTAAATACCATAACACAGTGCGCCGGCGACTGGCAGCACTTCATTTATAGCTAAAGGTGGTGAAAATCAAATTTGCAGCACTGTCAAATTGGAACTCCTCCTCGATTGATAATAAGCGGGCCGAATTTCAGCCAAGCGTTGAATAGCGTCCATGTGACCGGAGAGGTTTACGAGGGGGGCGGGGCGGGGCGGAAGCTTATAAGGCACCGGAAATGGAGGTGCCAAATCCAAAGGTTTGCTTGATGCTATGCCAGTAGTATCGATGCCAGTTTGTTCTCATCGCATCGTATTCGGAGGCGGGAATGCCGGTCTGCTTCAGCGTCATCATCGTGCTGGATGACTGCAAATAAAATATATTTATTATTCAAAATGTTATCTATTTTGTTTTAAGAGAAAATAAATATATGTACATATGGCAAAGCACACAATGAAATAGTTTACCAACTACATTTTATTATGTATTATTTTTAATAATCTGACACCTGAAGTAAAATAGAATAAAAAAACATTCTTCTATAGCCGAGTCAGACAAAGTGATCAAATTGGGTTGCTGCGCCCAATAAAGAGAAGAATCGATCAAAATGGATAGTGCATATCGATAAATCGATATATCGTTCACAACTTCAAAGTAAAGTAAAGTATATATATATTTATATATATATTATTTAACGAAGCCTGCGTTGCTCTGCAATGGATCACGATGAAGTCTATGAATGCTGATGAATGCAGTAAAATAAACATGACTTTGTCTGTGAGTTGGACAGCGTCGCCTAATTCTAATTGTAATTCAATTCAATTCGACTTACAGTTTCCTCCAGTTCGATGGTGACATTCGAATAGTGACCAGATGACCAGTTTTTCAGACGCCAACTCTGCTGGATTCGCTTCTCCGGCACCAACTCCTCAAACTTGCCCAGCACATTGCCGCCATACAGCACAAATCTGAAAGGGATTACATATTACATAAATATATCTATATATATATATAGCATTGATAAGGATATGCTTACTCGCCGCCACGAACTGCGTCCGCTTTGGCTGGGGCACGTGTAAATGCGGTGAGCATGTCGGCCTTTGTCAGGGCATTGTAGAGATCATTGGCATTGCAATGGAACTCCTCGGTCATGGAGAGGGTGCGCACATCCAGCTTGCAGCCAACGCCAGCACCAACGCCTGCCGAGCTACTATTTGTATTTGTATTCGCTGTTGATTTTGTTGCTGCTGTTTTAATTGTTGCCTGTGCCTTTTGGGCGGCATTCTTGGCATTGTTGGCGTCCTTGGCATCGGCGGCCGCATCGCTGCCCTTCTTTGGTAGTATCAAGTTCTTGGAGTATTCCTCCTTCAGCTCCTTGATATAGACGCCCAGCTGTTTGCGCACACGTTCCCTGCCCACATTGTACATGAATTGTTTGAGTGTCTCCGACTCGTCGTTCGATTCGTCAATGGTCACCGTCAGTTCGACATCCTCGAGACTGTTCTCCTCGGACAGATTGGGTATGGTCAGCTTTCCCTTGTGGCTCAGCGCACTGTTCTTCAGCATACGCCCCGTCCACTTCAGCACCAGCTCCCATTCATAAAAGAAGATCAGTTTGCCTTTGCGATTGTTGACGGTCGCCTCGCCGTTGCACTTCTCCAGCGACTCCACAACGCACTCCATGTCGTTTTGTTCTGAAACGGAAATTGAGTTTACATTTGGTTTTTACGTAAATATTAAATATATTTATAATAAAAAGAATGATTCACTTTTACGTTTAGTCCAAGACTCGCCTGCACATTAATAGACAGACGGACAGACAAGCTATATATATATATATATATATCTGATATCTGATATCTGATATATATAAATATGTTTATATGTATATATGTATGAAATTGTTTATAGATGACATTCTAAAATTTCTGCTGCATAGGCGTCTACAAAATTAAGGTTAGAATTTTGGCAAATATAACAAATAGCAACCGATGGCTAGGCGCACCTATTTTAAAGTCCTGGAAGAGCTGCTGGAGTCGCTCCTTGGACCAGGGCGTCGCATTCTTTTCGGTCCAGTGCCAGTTGTTCACATTGGTCGCATCTGGTCGCTCCTCAACAATCCAGCGTGGATCGCCTTCTCCCCACTTGGCCATGACTCGCTAGTTGCTCCTCGTGCTCTTATTGGCTCAGATTTGCATTCACTCGTTGCGGCTGGCGCTGGCTTCTTTTATGTTTGTTGGCAGTTGATAGTTTTTACTTGAGCTATTCGAATATTCGGAATTTTCTAGAAATCCGATGGTTGTTCAGCGCTTTTACAGTCAGCCTCGGCTAGTGATGGGCGATAGTTGGCCAAGTATTTTGTCACGTGACTTCGTTCGAGTGATGATGGGTCGCAGTTACAGCCGTGGAGTGAATTCGCCGCGCTGGTGGAGCAATTCTGTTAACTTTAGTTACACTTTACTTCCATGCTGAATGTTACAACAAGAAAAAACTACTTTATGAAACGAACTGCAAACGACATGCATAGCCATAGCCTACTGAACTTCAATTAATAGTTTAAATCTTATACAACAAATTCAATTATATATGCCAGACAAAATAAAAATAGCAATAGTTGCAAAGTGTGGCAACGCCAATTGCGTTACATATCGCGTGTACCATCTCCATGCATCAGTGTTCGCTCATCCCTAGTGGGAAAGAAAAAGTCGAAAGAATTTCTTGTGTTGATTTGTTTATGATAAATTGAATAGTGTTTAATAAATGAAAACGCCAGCAATTTGGCAAAACTTACAAATTATGTTAAACTAGTGGAAAGTGTGTGTGCGTGTGTGATAACCGTGCCCGCCACAATGATAAGCGCAATGGACAATTTCGACAACAGATCGTACGGTGCGATTTCCAAGGGGCGCAGTGAATTCTCGATGCCAGGTAAACATACACACACACACTAAACACTCACACACATACACATACATACAGAGAGGACGCATTGGGAAATGAGTAAACAAGAAAACAAAGACGGCTGAGAAAAAGATTAGTTTAAGCTGCAATTGAAGTGAAATTGTTTGAATGCCAAATGCAAATGCAAATTAAGTGTTTTTGTAGTAGTTGCGCGGAGGAGGAGGAAAAGTGTTGAAGCAACAAGCGACTCTGCTTGTGGGCGATTGTGTGCGCCTGTGTGTGTGTGCGTGTCTATTAAACTGGCCTTCAATTGAATTAATCGCCTAATGCGGCATTAAACTAATAATCCTAATAAAACAGACGGCCCGTTGAGAAACCGAAAAAAAAAAACAACAACAATTGTAACAAGAGCTCAATTTTATTATTTGTATTGATTTGGCACCATCTTTTCTCCCTCTCCCTCTCTCTCTCGCTCTAGTGCGCATAGTGCAGCGTTGTGTTTTTGTGTATGTGTGAGTGTTTGCTTGTGGGTGTGTTTACGTGCGCGTATGTGTGAGTGAGTGCGTATGTGTGACTGTGTGTGAGTGGAATGTCGCTGTTCCAATTAACCAAATCAACGGCAGCAACAACAACAGCAAAGGCATCCGCTTAAGAATTATGTTTTATTCTTGCAGAATTGACGCCTGAGCAACAGAAACTGCTCATCGAGCTGCGCAGAAAGAAGCAGGAGCTTTTACTCGAGATCCAGGTAAGTCCCAAGCAGTGCTGCCAAAAATAAAAACAGTTTTTGTTAAAAACAAAAAACAAAACAGTTAATATATGGAAACATATAATTCGACGATAAAATAATTTTTATAAATGTTTATGTACATTAATAATAATAACTAATATTCTATGCAGATCTCTATGTATGTTTCTTTAATGCTGTATTTTTGTACTAAAAGCAATTTAACTCATTTTTGAAAATTTAAAAAAAAAATCGCGCTTTTTGTAATCAGAAACTCACATTTGACTTTAAAAACGTTGAAATGGCTGACCCGCTGTAAGCACGAAAACAATAACAACAGCAAGAACAATAGCAACTCATTTTGAACATTTTTATCTCTTCATCATCATCATCGACGTCTCCCTCTTTTTTGCCTTCACCTTTGGCCACTGCAAATGTCAAAACACCCAACTAGGGCAGCGCAGCAACACCTGCGTCGCCGTTGCTGTCGCCGTTGCTTCCTCTTTTTGACTCACGTTCTCGCTCCCATTTCCATTTGTGTTCGCTATGGCTAATTAGTTTGTTCACATTTTGCCACGTCTAATTTGCTAGCGATCGTTGCTTTTGTTTTGTCAAATTTATTTGATTTTTATTTTTAATGACCACCCATCTTCGTCGAGGCTTCACTTCTTTCTGCTGTCGCTGCTAACGTTTTCATTGACATTCTCGGTGAGCGCAACAATAAACAACATTTCTATGCATCCATAAAAAAAATATACCGTTGGTTTGAAGTGTGGCCAGCTTTTGAACTTGTTGCTGACATTATTAGATGATTGCTGTTGTTGTATTAACTAAAACAACGCGGGAACAACTGTATTCGGCGGCATCCAAACAGCAACTGTAAACAAAACTGCGCTTCAGGAGCGCATTCACGGATCGTTTGAAAAAATAATTGTCGATAAATTATACTCTAGTTTAATAGTTACTAAAGCTTAAAACGTAAACTGGGTAAGATTTGTGCTCAACAAATTCGTTATATTCTCAACTCTATGACAAAAATTTACTTCCTGGCTGGGCCCAAAAGTTTGATTTACCTGCGTGCCTCTCCTGTTCATTGGGATGCAAAATTTCGTCCATCACGCACAATTCGCTCACGTCGTCTCTTAGTCATCGATGACGTTTCGCGCGGCAGACACACGAACCGAGACAGACCGGACCGACAGACAGACAGACCAACCGACAGACAGATAACGAAAGAAAGAAGAGGATCGGCTGTCGATTAATTAAACGCAGTGCGTTCAAATCAGAGTCGATAAACTGTTATACTGTAATAAATATAAGAAACCGTTTGTTTTCCTTGTGCGCTTTAAACAATATTTTCATAACGAATACGTGAGTTAATTAACGGTGGTGTTGTTGTTGTTGCTGTTATTATTATTGTTGTCACCGTTGTGCTATGTACAAGTTTCTATTTCGCAAAATCGTAAACAAAACCAAGAACAAGGTGAGTGGACGTCAAACTGACTCATCCAATAATCTCTAGTTTCTTATCAAAATAATGAATGCATGAATGAATTGCTATATTTATATATACTAAATAAATATTTGTGAGTTGAACACGTAGTAATTGTTGAGCAGGTTAAGAAATATCTACACAAGTCTTATCAATGTGGTAGCAACATTTATTTGCTCAATTAAAAAAAAAAATATCGAACAATGCCTTGAAAGAATGTGAATTAAATGTATTAATACAAGGCAGAAGTGTTTAAATAACATTTATTATCTTTAAGTGTGGAATTTACTTTTTGTTTGTTTTTAAACTAATTATACATGATGAATGTATTTTATAGCAAACCAAGTGTGCTAACATTGAGTTAAGTTTTTTAATTAAAGATCATTCCCATACTGAAAATATACTATATGCAAAAAAAAGAGGATCTCAAAAGAACGAAGAAGAAGTTTACAAGTTGACATTTTCAGCCATCAGGTAGTAAACGATAAATATATTTTTTGTTGTTGCTGATCTTTATACCAGGCTTAGGATCATAATTCATTTTTCGCGCATTTTTCCAGCCAACTGCTCGAAAATTTCCATCGCTTGCTTATTACGCGTAATTTTGGTGGACTTTGTTTAGGTTGTTTTAGGTTCCTGGGTATTTATTCATTGCACTACCTGACGATGGCAATCGACACCTCGACGAACAACGAGCCTCGCTCCGCTGATCCTGTTTCTGTTTCTGTTGTTCCTTTGGCTTCCTTCTCTGTTTCGCTACCTGTGTTGGTTGCCATTTACCGCAATGCATAAATATTCATCATACTTGAATGTATATAATATATATATATATACATATGTATTTGATATATGGGGTGTATATCCCTCTTTGACTGGCGGCTCGTTGGTTTTTATTTCAATTTTTCGGCAATTAGTCGAGTTCATATTTCGGGTTAAGTTTGGGTTAAATTTTTGGCTTGTGGTCTGTTGTCTGCCTTACCCTTTTTTTCACGAATTTCTTGTCTCGTGCTCGGCTCTTTTGTTTACTTTCGAGAAGGGAGGATGGGGTAAATATATCTGCTACTTTATTTAATAACCTTAGACTTATAATTATAACACCTAATTATAGCAAGCCCAACGCAATGTTTCTTCTTTTCTATTATAAAACTATAAAAACTCATTTCTAGAATTGAAATTTAAAAATCTCTAAGCTATACTCTACATTAATAGTCTATCACGAATTAAAATGAGATCGTAGTTAATATATCTAGACTGCAGAGTATCATTATTCGTAAAAATACATTATACATTGGCAAGATTTAAAGGGGAAAAGATAAGCTTGCTGTTGGCTGTTGGATTTAAATACGCAGCCTAAAAGTATGCCCCAAAAGCCTTGAAACAAAAGAATACAAAATAAATTTTATTATTAGTTTGGCGCTAAACTGCACTTCTAAAATGTACACAAACCTTTTTATTATTTTACGGTTTTTCTGATGATTAATTGTGTAAACACATTGTTTGTTCATTTCCGTTAAACTCATCCAGAAAATCGCAACTTGCCGGTCTTCCTCATAATAATTCAATATTTGCCTTTGAATTGGCGCAGATGCTTCTCATGAATCACACTCAGAATTATCGCTTATCGCAAGCCACGCGAATATACATTCATATAAAATTATGTGTTTCTTGTTTTTGTATGTAGGGTATATAAACATATACACATATAAATATGTGTGTGCTCAGACAGCTCCTTAATCATTTAAAATTAATGTTAAATTGCGCCGACATTTGGGGGAGAGAGAGAGAGAGAAGAGATCGACATATTTCTTCCCGCTCTCTTATTGGCAGCTGATAAGCTCTCTCTTTTCCAGCTGCTCGACATTTCTTATCTGCAGCAACTTTGCTTTGTGATGGACTGTCAGAGTGAGCATTGATAAACCGTTTTGGCAAACTAAATGTTATGCAAAACTGACAATTTTCTGTAGATTTTTTTTCAATTTCTATATTTTTACCTTTTACGGTCGTCGTTTGTATTTGTGTTTTTGTGCAATGTTGTCATCACTTAATCCGGATCTTGCCAATGTCAAAGAAACAGCTCTCTCTCACTCTCTCTGCTCACTTCTCTGTTTAGCTCTCTTTGCTCTGTTACTCTTAAGTTGCTGTTGCTCTTTAGTAATTTCTTATGCACTTTGCTAAGTATTGTTTGTTCTGCATAATTAAGTTGCTGTTTTATATATACTCTGGCGTGTATTTTAAATTATTATTTATGTGAGCAGCGCCAGCAACAATAGCCAATATAAGTTTCAGCAACAATGAGTTGGAGGGCTAAACTTATTGAAAGCGCACTTAAAGTGCAAATTTGTTCTTTGATTTATGGCGTCTGCTTTGAGGTTATAAACGACAACAAAAACAACAATGACCATGACGACGAGTGCCAACAATGACCCTTTCGGTCTCTCTCTCTCCTGTCCGTTTGCCGTTTGTTGCTTACTGTTCTTCTTCTTCTGGGCAGCAGCATACACAATGGCAAACTAATCGAAGTGTGGCCAACGACAAGTAACGCAAATGTGGCCAGCAGAGTGCAGTTTATGATGTCTGCATGCAAATGGAATCGCTTATGTATGCATGTGTGTGTGCGAGTGTGAGTGTACGTGTTTCATTTCCACACATTCCGACAAAAGGGATTTTCCTGTTAGGATTTAAAATTGCTTGACGGAATTGAAGACTTGCCGAACTACAAATTTAAACTATAGCTTAAATTAAAGCAAATGCATTATGTTTTTCAATAAATTTAAAGGACATTATTTGTAAAACAAAGAAAATATCTTAAATAACTCTCTTAATGAATAGAAAAATTATGATGTATTGATTTATTTGTGCATACACTCTTTACGTTTCATTATTTAATATTATGTTATTTCTTAAAGTTGTAAAATATGTTTAAATATACTTCACTTATTTATCAATTCCTTAGTTTAAAGACCTTTACTCATCAGTCAAATGCTGATTTCTCTTAAATGTCAAAGACACTTGTTGTGAGCGTCACAACAGCTGACTGCAGAGACTTCATGCTCTCTTAGGCCATGTTTTTAAACGAAAAGAGCGTTATATTGACTGCTCACTCAAGAATAACAGCGTGTTAACAGCACACGAACAGTGCATTTTGAGTCAGACAGCGTGTAAACAGCGCTTTAACAGCAAATGAGCAATGGCATCAACTTAAGATGTTAATGCCTGTGCACTCGGAACACTTGTTGTTGTTGCCTTTGCCATTAACAGTCGAGAATCCAAACAAAATGTCAACGTAACGGACGAAACTCGTCGGCGTCGTGCGGCACTCAAAACAGAAAAAAACAAAAAATTTATTTTCGTGCGCGTTCGAAAGAGTCCCGCATTTTGTCGGAGTGCCAAATCAAAAAAACAAAAAGAAAATACAAAAACCAACAGTTCGGCGCGCGTTACTATTTATTTATAGTTTTTCTAAAACAACAACAAAAGTGTCAGCCAATTTAAAGAGAATTAGTGCAAAAAAAGAAAAAGAAAAAGTGAAACTAATTTGTATAAATATTTATAAATATATTAAATTGGCTTGACTAAAAATTGCCACAATAAATAAACTGATAAGTATCCAGCTTATCAACCAAAAATAAAATAAAAGTGTGCAGATAATACACAAAAATTTGAAGCTAAAGAGAAGTGAGAAAATTGTGCATAAGAGTAAAATTAAGTATAAAAGCGATTTAAAAAAATAATTATTCTATAAATGAACGAGCAGCTGTCCTAATCTGAATCTTCCATGTAAATATCCCCGAAACCAAATATAATAAAATATATATTTTCTTGCCAGCAATTTACAAGTACAAAAACGCGTCACTTTCAACTCTGTTAATAAATTCCATTATTTATATAAAAATTACACGATACCGAAGGCTGAAGTTCTCCCCTAGGTAGTTGGAAATGTTTATATATAATTGTGTATATATATATGTGCATTCTTGTGTTTACCTTTGTTATTAATCATAGAGCTGATTAACAAATGTGACGTCAGATTCATATTTCCGCTTTATTGACTCTTTGTTGTAGTTGTTGTTGCTATTTCTGTGGGATTTATCAATTATTGTCAGTTAGAATATGGGTTTTATACAAATTCGCATTGACGACAGCCGGTTTTTTTTTGTTGTTGTTTTATTTATATACTTTTACGTTATTTGTTTAAGTTTGCTATATGAGTAATAAACATTTATAAGCACGCTTTGCGATTTGTGCAAGGAATTTTATCTTGATCAAGCGATTCTTTTGTTGTCCACATAAATAATTAACATTAATTCTTCAAGCACGAGACTTTGCAATATATAATAAACTGAATGGAATAGAAGGGAATAGCAACGATGTCAAAGTTTTTTACTGAAAAACTTTTATTACTGCTGAACTTTAAAAGAGCTCTTTAGATAATATTTTATCTGACTCATGCTTCTGGCTTAAGCAAACAGCTACCCATATATAAAAATGTATTCAACCTTATCACTTACACCTCAAACAAAACAAAAACCAAACAAATGAATAAAACAATCAATTCTCCTTCTTATAACTATAAATAAACGAGACAGAGTTGATAGAATAATAGTAATGCAGCAGTGAATCGAATTTGATGTAAATTCACAAAACTGTTTGACAAACTGAAATGAAAAATCAAATGAAATGAAAAACAAAAAAGGGACACACGAAATCATTATGGAAAAGGTCAGGATACGGCCCAGCGAGCATACAGACGAAGGTTAGCTGGGAGAAGACCGCATGACGACCCCCAATATAAGTTACGGCCATGCTGGTGCTGGTGCTGCTGCTACTAACCCGTTAGCAGGCACCACTTTTCCCAGCAATTTTGCCAACCATTTTCCCAATAGGCCAAAAGTTTGCCAAAAAATAAATTCAAAACAAATTTACTGCGCCAAAAAGGAAAAGACAAGCGCAAATGACGCTGTGTGTCGCAGTTGTAAGTTGTACAAGTGCTT